GGGGGGGGGGGGGGGGGGGAGGAAGAAAGTCAGATAGCGGGACCCGGCGCGGTGGGCGGGGAACACGGGCACGCACCCGCTCGTCGATGTCCAGGTCGAGGTCGACCTTGTCACGATGGGCCACGCCAGATCGGACCAGCTGGGCTGTCTCCCAGTCGTCCTGCTCGCGAGCAAACTGACGCTGGCTCTCGGAGATGCGTCTCTACATGTTGAACGGGCGCGGGAAGGGGTCAGTGGCGTTGGTCTCGGGCCGCACGACCAGACAAAGAAGCGGGCAGACCAGGTACACATACCGAAGGGGGCAACACGCCGGCCAGGTGCTCGGGCACCTGCGGTGCAGCGGGCGAAAAGGCAGGCCGGGGCGGTGGCGACCGCGACCGCGACCGTGACCGTGACCGGCGGCGATCGGTCGAATACCGGCTGCTCGAGTGGCGATCGGCCGGATGCCGGCTGCTTGATCGACGCTCACTCGAGTACCGGTCATCAGGGTACCGGTCATTGGAGTACCGATCACTCGAGGACCGGCCACTTGGGGGTCGTTCGCCGGAGTACCGGTCGTCTGAGCGCCGGTCCTGTGGGTATCGGTCGGAGTATGACCGCCCGCGGGAAGGACTCGGGGACCGGTCGCCGCGCCGTTCGCGCGATGAATGCCGCCGCTCGGGGCGTCGGTCGGAGTACGAGCCGTCCCGGCCGCCGCGGTAGGAGCTCATCAGCGAGGGGCCACACGGGTGCTTCCTTCCGGGCAGATCAGAGGGACGAAGAAAGAGGCGAGGAGGAGGAGGAGAAGGGGGAGGGGGGGAGGAGCAAGAGGGAAGAAGTACAGAAAGAGAGCCGTGCTGTGGGTCAAGACCGCGGCGGAATCCGCTGGTGGCACACATATAGCCCCAATCGTTGGCACCGTCGGTCCCCATGTGATGTCACTCCGGCGTGACCGGATGTACTGGAATAATCGACCCGCCTCCATGTCAGCTCTGCATCTACACCGGGCAGCAACATCGATCGGTCCGCGGGCCCCCCGATACAACTGACGCTGAAAGTGCCCAGCGAGGGAATTAGCCAGCCGTGATGGGCAGGGGGAGGGGGGGG